AAAATAGTCTATTATAAAATGTTACCGTCACATTATATTATACAAATCATTTTGTACAAAATCATTGTAGGTGAGTCATTTCTCTATTTTAAAGGAATGTGTACAATGGGAAAAAAAAGGAAAAATGAAAAAAGAATGTGAACAGATATAGAATACTAACGATAAGAAAAAAAAAGGGAAAAAAAATTGGTAGGCCATGATCGTAGAATCTGTAGCTGAATTGTGCATAGGGGTGAGCATTGGGTAGATATATCTATTACTTATAAATATTTTATCTGTTTAGATAAATATCTTATCTATATTGTAAAAAAATTAAGTAAATAATAACTATAAAAATAATATATCTGTAAGCATTAAATAAAAAAAATGATTAGTATATCCTTCAGTTTAATACATTTGTTAACATCATTTGAGTCCGTCATTAAAAATTGCCTTTGAAAATTTTTTGACCATGAATTCAAATTTAAAAATAATAGTTTTTAATGCATATGTTGTAAAATTTGTTGAACCGAAAAATGTACTAATCATTGTCCATTAAATCAAGTAATAAGTATAAGGGTTTAAAATTATTTACTTGATTTGTTTAATTGCTTTATTTAATTGACTATTACATACACTTGTATAATTAAAATTTTATCTATACTTATTATACTTAATATTTATATGATAACAATAATTTTTAAAAATAAAGATAACAAAGTAAAAAAATAAAAATTAAAAAAATCACACACACAACCTATGAATAAAAAACCCTAAACTAAACAATTATTACACATGCAACTAATAACTTTTTTCCTTCCTTGCACTCTTAATGGTGAGTATTTATAACTTCAAATTTTGATTTTTTTTAACCTTTTTTTTCAGTATTATATTAACAATTTTTAAGATATAGTCTTTGTTTATTGTATAGATGATTTTTTAATTTAAATTTCTAAATTTAACATGATTAAAATAGTAAGTCAAAAACATAAATATCATAATGTTAAAATAGATACAATACCATCCGTCATTATCCCTTTCAAACAAATTGAAGGAGGATTAGGGAGACTATGAGACTAAAATCATAGACATATTCTTTAAAGGATTTTTATTCTGTTATTTAATTTTTATCATTCTTTATTTTTTGGATACATATTTTTGTTTTTTATTATTAATTATTTAATTGATTTTAGTTTTTTAATAGTATGTAGATTTGAATTCTTGATCTAAAACTAAATTTTAGTTCTCTATTATTATTTTAGATTATATTTAAATTTAGATTGTAATAAATAATATTTTATTAAATTTTTACTAATATTATTAAATTTTAATTTTAAAAA